ATTCCTGGGGGGAGAAGACACTAATGACAGAGAGAATCATGAAAAATTTTGATAATGTGGTGGCATCTGGACTGTGATTTGAAGGAAAATAATGATCTCCTCACAACTGATGCCTAATCCAATGAATTTTCCACTCTGCCACTCCATAATTACTAACAAGTGAAACTCCAAAGTAACCTATCATTACTGAGTCATGTCAATTGGCTTTTATTATAATCAATGGACCAATGGAGGATTTCTATATAGAGAAATGCCAGCTATTATTATCTTTCCAGTGCTAGTCTCAAAACAGCCTGATGCAGTGAGTGGTGCCAATATTGTTCTCCCACAATTTCCAGATGTGGAAACTGACAATAAGAGATAGGGAGTGACTTGTAGCAGATCTGACAGCTGGCCAGTGGTGCAGTAAGGACCAAGTCTCCTAGACCCATCCCGACCTCTTTCCACTCCTTCATATGATGCTTCTTCTTTTTTTTTTTTTTTGCAAAGAACCAAGGGGAGAAGGGCCATAATTATTATTATAATAACCAGAGCTCTTCTACTATTGCCTCAGGGACAGCCTCTGCTGGCTTAATAAAATTCATCTTTTTATTCCTCCCACCTCTGCCCGTCTGCCTGCTGTGTGTTAATCAGATGTGTTTTTTCTCCCCTGAGCCCAGCCTGCTATACCTTATTACCATCATTGTCTACCCCCTGTAGCCTTTTATCTCTGATGCTTTGGGGAAGAGGGGGTGGGGTGGAAGTTTCTACCTTAGCACAGTCTTTCTCATACAGAAAGTGCCTTGTACTGGTCTCAATTTCCTCAACTGTAAAATGGGAAAATAATAGCACCTACCTCCTAAGATTGTTGTGAGGATCAAAGAAGGTATCTGTAAAATACTTAGCGCAGTGTCTGACACAAAATAGATGCTTAATAAGTGCTTATTGAATTGAATTGAAGGAAAGTTTCCACCGGAACTATAAATTGACAAGAGTTTCCAATGGATGGAATAGCTTCTTCAGGCTTCTACAGCCATTGTTTCTTATCCCAACTCTGCCATTGATTAGCTAGCTATCTGACCTTGTCTGAGTCCCATCACCCTTGCAGACTAAGTTTATTTTTCTGGAAAATGGGGGATGTTATTTTCCCTGCTTATCTCAAAGATTTGTTCTAAGGCTAAAGTGAGAAAAGAAAAAGGAAAGCCATTAACATCCTCCCTCCTGTCTCCCCAGATCCTTCTCCCATCTGTTACATTCATTATTGTTTTTGTTAGGTCGTTGAGTTGACCCTTCATGACATTCTGACCAGTTCAAAATGTTTTAATCCAGTCCAAACTGGTTTAATCCAGTTCTGTCCATTCCAGTTCAGACCAGTTTAATCCATGGTAGAAGCATGGCAAGATAGCAATTCCTCTGACAGATGTGGGAGTTTTAGCAGACTGCAAACACAAGAGTGAACTATATGATTGCAATCTTTGGCTGTATTAAGGATGGCATCAATTTTGCCCTAGTCAGACTTGTGTGTGTGTGTGTGTGTGTGTGTGTGTGTGTGTGTGTGTGCGTGCGCATGCGTACATAAGGCACTATGCTAGACAACTAGAGACATAAAAATAAAATGAAAACAATCCATTTCCTCAGGGAGATGAAGTATATACACAAATAAGCAAATATAAAATAGTTGTAAAGCATATGCTAATGCCTCTCTGGCTCTACTCACCATCCCTATAACTTTCCAAACCAAAATATTCATCACTGGTTACCATTTCCCTCAATGTGTTGTCTCCTGCTATCAGCCTGTAAGCTCCTTGAGGGCAGAGATTGTATTACTATTTTATTTGTATCCCTAGCACTTAGCTCAGTGCTGGGCATATCATAAGTGATTAATAAGTATTTTTCATTCATTCTATTTTTTAAAAAGTATTAACAGCTGGGGAAACCAAGAAAGTCTTTGCTTAGGAGATGATATTCCCTTCATTACTTTGAGGAAGTACGGATCTGTCAGGATAGGTATTCTCCTTCCACCGACACAGATGACAACCCCTCTATGCCTTTGAAGAGTTTCTGGGAGTTTCTCTTTGAGAGTTTCTGTGGCTGAAAAAATTGTCACCCTAGTATTGGGCCTCTCTGAACTCAGCTGGACTGGTCCTTGGATGACATCCCACCCACAGCCCATCAGGAGCCCCCGAAATGGAACCTTTCCAGCTTAGTAGGACATGAGTTTGTGCCCTGGTGGAATAGCTTTCAAGAATCCAGGGTCAGCTCTGGAAGACAAGGAGGCATCTGATTAGGCCTTTCATGCAGTTACAAAGCAATTTTAAGAGCCAAATTTCAGGACAATCATTGCAATAAGAGATTGCTTTTCTCTTGAACTGAATCATAGAACATAAAACATTAGAATAGGAAGGGACCTTAGACCATGGAATGCAATGTTAGTGTCACAGGGAACCTTAGATGACCTAATTCAACCCCTTCTATTTACAGAAGAGGAAACTGAGGCTGAGAGACAGTGACCATGGTCATACAACTGGCCCGTAGCAAAAGTCACATGTCCTAAGTTTGATTCCTTCAATTCTTTCTATTCTACCACAATTCACAAGGTATTTGTAAATGAGTATCTCAAAGGTCTTTTCCCACCCTCATACTCTATATCCCAAGGCCTTTCCAGGGAGTTAGATGGTTCAGTAGGGTGCTAAGCCTAGAGTCAGGAAGACCCAAGTTCAATTCCAACCCCAGACACTTATCAGCTGTGTGACCCTGGGCAAGTCACTTCACTTCTATCTGTTTCAGTTTCCTCAACTGTAAAACGAGGATAACAGCACCTACCTTGCAGGGTCATTGTAAGGATAAAATGAGATGATATTTGTAAAGCATTTAGTACAGTGCCTAGAGTATAGTAGGCATCTAATAAATGCTTGTTTGTTTCTTTCCTTTCTTCCTTCTTCTTCTTCCTCCCAGTTCTGCCATTCTAGAATACGAAAGAGCCCAAGAATTCTTTGTTCTATCCTCATCATGGTCAGGGCTGTATTGAAAAGAACGTCCACATTAGAATGTCTTCCTGGGCAGAACTTAGCAGATTCTGAGATAAACAGGAGATTCAAATGAGCTTCTCCATTCTGATATAGCCACCTGAAATTTCTGTCTAAAAATCTCTATTCAATTTTCTCAGTAAACGGTTGTTTAAAAATCCTTTGTTCTGTCAGCTATTCCAAACTCTCTTAGAAATTAGCTTGGAGAATCTCTCTTGCTAATGCAATCTATATGCGAGTCCAGGAAAAGTTCATACAGGCAACAGGTGAGGCAATCCTTTGGAGAAAACTGCGCAGTATAATGAACGAATGAGCTCTGAACTGGGAGTCCATAGACGTAGATCTGAGACCTGCCATTTAGTAGCTTTGTGACCCCGGGCAAGTAATTTTCCTCTTCTGGACAAAAGTTTCTTGCTTGTGAAATACAGCAAGACCTGCCCTGCCTTCCTGATGGGATAGACATGGGATCCAAAGGGACAGAATGAGGAATTATTATTTGTAATGATGAGGCAGCATATAAATGAGATAGATTAGTATTGTTATTCTAACGAAAATTACTCAGGGAAGTATGCTCTATGGATACATATGTATACATATACACATCTATATAGTCATAGATTATACGTATGTACATGTATATGTGTGTATACACATATATTTATGCATTATAGACTACATATGCAAATATGACATAGACATACATATACACATATTTACACACATATTTTTATGCCTTATGGACTATATATGTAAATTTAGGCTATATGTGTACATGTGTATATATGCGGATATATACAGACACATTCATATGTACACACTACATATACATATTTTACACATATATTTATGCATTATAGACTATATGTATATATGGGATATATGTGTGTATACATACATATGTACGTGTGTGTGTGTGTGTGTGTGTTGTGTGTGTGTGTGTGTATAAGTGTGTATGGCCAGGGAGGAGCTTTGGAAAACCCAGGACTGGAGTCAAAACAATGCATACGAAAGACAACTTGGTAGGTGAACAGGACAAATGATGATGATAATCATGTTGGTGATGGTGATGGTGATGATGATGATGGTCATGGTGATGATAATAATAGCATGTATATGTGCCAGGCACTATGCTAAGCATTTTGCAAATATTATATAAAGGATATTTTAAAAGAACATAAAACTGGAAAAAGTATCTAAGTATAAATGAGGGGAACACTTAGGCTGCCTGATATTAATTGTCTCTGGCAGAGACTTTTAGTATTTTTAACAGCAGAATCATAGAGACACAGAATCACAGATATAAAGCCAGAAAGCATCTTAGAGGCCAGTTGGTGCAACCCCCTCCTCATCATCTACATTTTTATCAGAATAGCTAACATTTATCTAAAACCTTCAAGTTTAGAGGGGACCTTATAGATATTAACTCATCGGATCCTCTGTATGGCCCTGGAAAGTGGGTATTATTATTATTATTAACATTATTATTATTATTATCCCCAATGCACAATTGAGGAAACTGGGGCTCAAAAGGTTAAATAATTTGCCCCAGACTGATATAGTTGGTATTGGACATAGAATTTAACCCAGGTCCTGCTTGTTAGCTACAACAACTACTACTACTAGGTGGTCCTAGGCCTGGAGTCTGGAAGACCAGAGTTCAAAACCAGTCTCACACAGTTAATAGTTGTGTGACCCTGGGCAAGTCACTTAACCCTGTTTGCCTCAGTTCCCTCCTCTGTAAAATGATCTAGAAAAGGAAATGACAAACCACTCCAGTAGCTTTGCCAAGAAAACCTCAAATGGGGTCATGAAGAGTCAGACATGACTGCACAGCAATTACTAATTACTAATTATTATAATAATGCCACTTTTAGAGGGCTTTCCTCACAATAACTTTGAAAGGTGAGTAGTGCCAATATTATGGTCATTTTACAGATGGACAAAGTAGAAACACTGAGATATGAATGCCCAGTCACACAGCTTGTAAGTATTGGGGCCAGGACTCATAATCAGTCCAGGGCACATTCCAATAATCCTTCATTGATACCTTTATGATTCAGGTCTATCTATAAAGAAAGTTTATAAAAATGAGGATTACTCATTCTTTTTTTTATGTGAAAAGCACTCTTTGAGGCAAGCACATTCACAGTTTGAAATCTAAACATCTTCCCAACAAAACTCACAGCCACCTTCAGGATTGTCACAATGGTGCCAACATGAGAAGATGATTATTATTGTTAGAATCATCTTGTTGTTTTTAGAAAGGACAACACCAATACAAGAGAAATTTAACCTCCCATTCAAATGATTGTTCAGCTTCCATTTCAAAGAATTTTCTGTGTTTTTCTTTTCTTTTCTTCTCTTTTCAGGAGAAAATCAAGCCTGGAAAAATTAGTCTCTCTGAAGCTCTGCTAGGCAAAAGCAAAAAAATGCTGGCTGGTTGTAACAGAACCCGTTCCCATTTGCCCTGAAGGAACATCTTGTTTCAATTGCCGTTCAGGAAAATGATTTTCAGCCCCTTGAAGCTTGTATTCTTCAACTTCCACAGAGTCCTCCAGGACTGGCATGAAAAACACTTATTATAAATTGCTTCAGACCAAAAACAAATTCCAGGGCATTTCTCTCCCTTTTCATCAGGAGATGCTGCCCTGCCTCTCTTTCTTAACTTGAGACCACATTCTGCGTTCTGGCCTAAGGTTCCTTCCATCTCCAAAAGTCTATATTCTATTCAATTTGACAAATATTTACTGAATGCCTGTTGTGTTCAAAGCACTGTGGGAGATGCCAGAGATACAGAAGACAAAAAGTGAAACAGCCCCTACCTTCATGGAGCTTAAACTCAAAGGAGGGTGATCTAGATAGGACATGTACACAGATAAGTTAGTACAAAGTACATACAAGAAATTTCAAAAGGGAAGTTGAGTGAACAAGCAAGCATTTATTTAGTGTTTCTCTATGCCAAGCACTATGTTAAGCCCTGGGAATACAACAAACAGAAAAATTATTATTATTATTAAAAACTTTAAGTTTGCAAACTACTTTACAAATATTTTACTTTATCCTCACAGCAGCTCTGGGGAGTAGGTTCTATTATTACACCCATTTTGCAGGTGAGGAAATCGAGGCCCAGATATCGATTGAAGTAACTTGCCCAGGGCCACACAAATATTAAGTGTGTGCGATTGGTTTTGAACTCTGGTCTTCCAGACTCCAGGTCCAAAACTCTACCCGTTGTACCACCAAGCTGTCTTCAGGGAGCTTACGTTATAATGGAGGAGTCAACATGCAAAAAAAAAAAATTGTGTGCCTGTAAGATCTATACCAAATAGATGGAAGGAAACATCAGAGAAAGGGTACTAGAAGTCAAGGGAGAGGATGGAGTGGTTAGGAAAGAGCTTCAGCATCCAGAGTGAGAAGGAAAGGCCCTTATGTAGGAGCTGCGTTTGAGTCATGCTTTGAAGGAGGCTAGGGCTTCTCCAAGGCAGGGACCTTGTGTTCTAAAGGGGAAGACAACACGTGAGGAATGATGACCAGGGAATGGAATTATGGTCTGAAGAGTAAAAAAGAAAAAAAGTGGTAAATAGGACAATAAGGATGTTTATTAACTTACTTTGTCCAGGGACAATGGTAGTGTTGATGTGATAACAGGCCTCAGAGTGAGAGGTAAAAGGGTGCTGGGAAATAGGGCAGAGCATGAAAGCAAGGTAGAAAATGACCAAGATGAAAATGAGGGTGTATTATCCCAGAGAATACAGAACTAAATGGCTTAGTTCCTCTCAGGCATGCTCTCTGGTGGTCCTGTTCTCAGTGTAACAATAACAGCCAACACTTATACTGCTGTTGGTCATTTCAGTTGTGTCTGACTCTTTGTGATCCTATTTGGAGTTTTCTTGGCAAAGATACTGAAGCGGTTTTCCATTTCCTTCTGCAGCTCTTTTTACAGATGAGGAAACTGAGGCAAGCAGAGTTAAGTGATTTGCCCAGCTAGTAAGTATCTGAAGCCAGATTTGAACTCCTGAAGATAGTCTTCCTGACAGCAAGGCTGGCACTCTATTCACTATGCCACCTACCTGCCCACTATACTATTATAGTGTCTGCTATGTACCAGGTACATTATAAATACTATCTCCTTTGATGCTCACAACAACTCTGGGAGGTAGATGCTATAATTACAGAGACTGAAGCAAACAGAGGTTATGTGACTTGCCCAGGATCTAAGTTAAGTGTCTGAGCTGAATTTGAACTCAGGTCTTCCTGACTTCAGACCTAGCACTTTATCCACTGAGCCACATAGCTGCCTCCAGAGTAGCTGGGTGGAAAATGGCCAGGTGGAGCAAATAACAGTAATAAGAAATAATATAATAATAATAATAATAACAACAATAATAATAGTTAGTAGTAATAATGGAGGTGGTAGTAGTAAAAGTAGGAATAGTAGTAGTAGTAGTAGTAGCAGTAGTAGTAGTAGTAGTAGTAGTAGCAGCAGTAGTAGTAGTAGTAGTAGTAGTAGTAGTAGTAGCAGTAGTAGTAATGAGCAGTAGTAGTAATGATAGCTAACATTTACATAGTGTTTACTATGTGCCAGACACTATGCGAAGCACTTTATAACTATTACATCATTTGATCCTCAGAACAACCTGGGAGATAGGGTGGAAAATGGCCAGGGTGGAGAGAAGGTGACAGACATGGTGGGTGTCAGATAGGTTGTGGAAGCAGCATCAACAATTAATCTCATTGGGGTGGAGGTGGGCAGAGATAGACAAGAGTTGAAGATGATTCTGAGATCACTTATTAGGGTGAATAAAAGGATGGTGCTATCCCCAAGAGAAATAAGGAAGCTTGGAGGAAGGATGGGTTGGACAGAAAATAAAATTCCATTTGGGATACATTGCATGGGAGATTCTGATGGGGGTATACAAGTAGAAATGGATAACAAGAGACTGGTATTATTGGGGAATAGGGTTCAGGAAAGGGAATTAGATCTGGTTATATAGATTGGGGAGTCACTGACATAGAGATGATAATTGAGTCCATGCTCTACCATTCTGTGTCATATGCTTTAAAGTCCCTTCCAGCTCTGACATTCTGTGGTCTAGATGAAGCAATACTTGGCGAGATAATTCAAAGCCTGACTGCCAGTTTCCTATCTCATATTTAAAGTTAAAGTTGGGGCGGGGAGGGGGAAATGACACATACACACTTAGTTTCTTTGTGTGGATGCAGAAAGGGATAGAGCTACCTAATTTTGCAACATTGGTCCAGGAGGATATCATGAAACACATACTGGGTTTGGAGTTTGAAGACCTGAGTGTAACCCCCAACTCTTCAACTAGTTAAGTGCATGGGCTTGGGCAAATGACTTACCTTCTCTGGGAGTCCACTGCCTCCAGGATACAATGGGGGTAATGGTACTTGTGTGACCTCTCTCATTGGGTTGCTGTGAGAAAAGTGCCTTGTAAAAAGATGTGAGCTGGTCTTATTGAGAACTCCTTTCTGTTCCTTCTTCCACCAGGGACTAGGGCTAAAGTAGGATCTGTTGAGAGAAGGCTCCTTTTTTTTCTCTTCCTCATAAATCATTCACATAACATGGATCAGCGAAAGAACTAATTGGGAATTTGGCCTTGGAGAGAATTCACAGCTAGTGAGTAGAATGCAGTTTGACTACAAACACAAACAACTGAAATGACCAATAAAATCTGCAGAATTACTAAGTGTCTAAAGCTGAAGAGAACCTGCGAAGTCAGCCAGTCCAACTCCATCTTTTTATCCAGAAGGAAACTGAGACTCAGAAAAGTTTACCGACCCCCACCCCCAAAGCTCACTCAGCTGTTAAGTGGCAGAGCCGGCACTGGTGAGTGGTATTGGGATGCAAATGCAGATCTTGTGACTCCAAGCTCGGAGCTCTTTCTTCTACTGTCCAAATCCAGCCCTGGGCACTTCCTAGCTATGAGACCTTGAGCAAGTTACTTAACCTCTCCTAGCCTCAGTTTGCTCATCTGTAAAATGGGCATAATAATAGCCCCTAACTCCCAGGGTTGCTATGAAGCCCAAATGAAAGAACATGTGTATAGTGCTTAAATCTTAAAGCACCCTGTGAACACTAGCTCATATTACAATGCAATGTCACCAACACGTCCCAGTTCTACTGAGTCAAATGTACAGCCCAGTGGTTGAGCTATCTGATATGGCTGGAGGCTAATGATTACAGAGATCATTCTAGGTGGAACTAAATAGAAAAGGAGCTAGGCTTATCATGCATTCTCCACTACTTTGACTAAAATCACTGATAACCTCCATTAAGTTATTTTTTTTTTTTGCTGTCTTGTGTTTTCTGCAAAGAGAGCTATTTTAACTTCTTATCTCTAATGTTTATGCCTTGAGGCTTTTTCTCCATGCTTTTTTTTTTACAATTACCAAGACTGTCTAGCTCCCCCCACACACCCACATACACCCCTTTTTAAGAGAAAGGCATAGAGCACAATTTAGAATCAGAAGACCTGGGTTCAGATTCTGACTCTATACTCACGACCTGGGTGACTTTGAGGACATTACTTCCCTTCTTTAGTTCTTAGTTTCCCCATCTATAAAATGAGCCAGGTGGTTTTCACGGTCTTTCCGGCTCTGAAGCTTATTATCTTTCACTAAGGCCATGGGCACATTAGGCAATGAAGCCTGATTTCTTTTGTCAACTCAGTACCCAGGGTGAGTCCTGAGAGAATAGAACAACGTCTTCGTAAAGAATTTTCATTTAGCAAGAATGACTTGGATCCCAATTAAGAACTGACAGCCCTTTTGTGAAGAGACTGTTAAAGGAGTTCGTATCAGTCTAAATGACGTCCCCATTACTGAGGATGCCCGAGCAGAGAGAGACCAGATGACCCCTTGGGCAGGATGTTGCAGAAGAGACTACTCCAGCAAGCATGGGGTTTATATGGGATGGCTGCTGAGGAATCTTCTGACTCCAGGGTTCTCTGAAAAGACCAGACACAGTGACCCTAGGATGGGAACAAAAACAAGAAGGCATAAGAGAGAGTGTACAGTATTCTGTTTGGCTCGAGTGGGGCATGCAGGGAGGGGAGCAGAGTAAGATGAAACTGGAAAGGCAGATAGTACCAAATGGTAAAGAGCCTGAATGCCAGGCACAGGGGTTTGAACTCTCCTCTGGAAGCAATGAGGAGCCACTGAAAGACTTTGAGCGGAGAGATGGAAGGCAGATCAGTCCCGAGATAATCATATAGAGCCATCTGAAACAATGATTTCAAAGACATCCCCTGGATGAGAAAAGAGTCTTATCAACAGGGGCAGCTAGGTGGCACGGTGGATAGAGCTCTGGCCTTGGAGTCGGGAGGACCTGAATTCAAATCCAGCTTCAGACACTTGACACTAAGGGGCAGCTAGATGGTGCAGTGGATAGAGCACCAGCCCTGAAGTCAGGAGGACCTGAGTTCAAATCCGGCCTCAGACCAAACACTAGCTGTGTGACCCTGGGCAAGTCACTTAACCCCAACTGCCTAAAAAGGAAAAAAAAAACCAGACACTTGACACTTACTAGCTGTGTGACTCTGGGCAAGTCACTTAACCCTGACTGCCTCACCAAAAAGCAAAAAAAAAAAAAGGAGTCCTATCAATTGTCTAAGAGCACCCCCCCCGACAGGATCTATTCCAATAATTAGGAGTCTCTCTCTATCTGAGGGGCACTAACGTCTGCCTTGAAATGTTTTAGGCAATTTCCAGAGCACAGAGAAAACATGACCCCAAAGTCCAGCCTTTAGAAGAGCTCACACAGCTCCACTGCCCCTAGTTCTCATGACAGGGTTTAATGAGTATATACCCTCTATACAAATCTTCCGGTGTCAGGATTTATGATGTATTATTATCTGTGCAAGGAGAGTGGGTAATATTTAAGCCTCTTTTTCAGCTACTCTTCAGCCCAGCCTGTTTGCTGCTTTCCATAGTCCCTGCAGTCTTCCTTAGATCCACCAGCTACCACCCACACTGAGGACAACACACCCTTCTCATCATCACCTGTTGAAATCCTTCACCTTCTTCAGGCTCATCATGGTTGCCACCTCCACCAGGAAGCATTCCTTGATGTGTCCACTAGAAGCAATTCCCTCTATCTTCAAACTGTCCTAGGGCACCTCATCTTTATAACTCCTTGGTCCCTCTCACATCTTGCCTCTTCATAGTGATTGTGCAAATCCATACAAAAGGTAGCTCTGCAGATACTTGAAGGCAACAATCATGTCCCTCCCCAACCCCATCCAAAGTCTTCTCTTCTTCAAGATATATACACCCTGTTCTTCCAACTAAAGCTTCTCTTTTTGTGTTGGCAAGAAACTGGAATACCATTGTGCTATATCAGAAATAAACAAAGAGATGGTTTCAGAGAAACCTGGGAAGATGAGTAAGGACTGAGGCAGTGAAGTGAACAGAACCAAACAGCCACTATTATAACACCAACACTGGGGAAAAAACAATTGTTTTAAAGGCTGAAGAACTCTGATCAAAGCAATGATCAATTACGTTTCTAGGGGAGCAATGACGAAGCATGCTACCCACCTCCTGACAGAGCTGATACAGAATAAGAAATGTATGTTTGGATATGGGCAAATTGTTTTACTTGATTAGGCATTGTTGTTACAAGGTTTTTGTTTTTGCTTTTTTTTTTTCCAAAGGATGGAGAGGTAGGACGAAGACAAAAACTAATAATGGATAAAAAATAAAATTTAGTTTAAAAAAAATCTAAAAAGAAGGGGAAGGAGAAAGAGTAAAGGAGGATGAAAAAAATTAGGCCTCCATTTCCTCGCCTGAAATTGATGTTGTAAGAGGGTTAATGTCAGGATCACAATGACAAATACTTCGCTATCCTCAAAACATTATACAAATGTGATCAAAGAGTAGGAATGGAGGTATTGGAGAAAATTTAAGCCCTGGGACAGATTGGTAATGGAAGGATTTTGGATGCAGAAGAGCCCTCATGTGCATAAACTTTCAACCATACCTTCTAGATTCAGTAACATACCTAATAACATTTATATATCACTTCAAGGCTTGAAAAGTATTTTTCATATTTTGTCTCATCTTATCCTCATGCCAACCCTTATGGTATCCATTTTACAGATTAGCAAACTGGGGGTAGGAGAAGTTAAGCACTAGTAAGTGTTTGAGGCAAGATTTGCACCTGGGTCCTCCTGACTTCAAGTCTAGTACTGTCTCCACCTGTTGGCTCTAATAAGAAGGTTGGGTGGGGACAGGAAAGAGCATTTATTAAGCATCCAGTAGTGCCAGGTACTATGCTAAGAACTTTATAAATATTGCCTCATTTGGTCTTCACAATAACCCTGTGAAGTAGGTGCTATTATTATTCTCATTTGAGGAAACTGAGGCAGTTAGAGGTTAAGTGACTTTTCTAGAATCACACAGCTACTTAAGTGTCTGAGGCTAGATTTGAACTTAGTTCTTCCTGATTCTAGGCCCAGCATTCTATCCACTGTGCCACCTAGCTGCTTCTAAGGGTGGTCTGGCTGACATCCCTTACTCTCCTCCAATATGTCAAGCTAAGATCTCCTCCATTAAACCAGTTCACACAACAATGGAATCTCTCAGTTGCAAGAACTCTCCAAAATCACCTGGTCCAATCTCCTATCCAATATAGATATTCCCTCAACAGCTTCTGCTTGAACATCTCATTAGCTTTGTTGGCTAATAGATCGGACAACAAGTTATAGACCCACAAAATCTCGGAGCTGAGATAGACCATGGTTATCTGTTCCCTACCTGATGAAAAATCTCTCCTACAACATGCTCAACAAGTGATCGTTCAGCCTCTAGTCTGGATAGATGGACTGAATTTTCCCTTTTTTACTCTGTGGTTTTGGAATTACAGGGATCAGGACTAGGACCAGGCAGCAGGTAGCTCACAGGGATTTTCCCCTTTCTAGGAATTTCTAGACCTTGGTCACAGAGGCAGAGTGGGACCGTAAAGAGTACACAAGCTGGACCCCTCCCACCAGCCACGTCTTACCTATATGACCTTAGTCAAGTCACTGGGCCTCAGTTTCCTCCTGTAAAATGAAGGGATTGCCCAGATGATCCCCAAGGTCACTTCCAGCTCTAAATCCCATGATCCTTGGCAATGCCAACCAAGTGGGAGCAGCTTGATGCCCTCTGGACTGCAGTGTGTGCCAGGGTGTGACGAGGAATCACTTTTTCCCTCTCTCCAGCTTCCAAGAATTCACCCAAAGCCAAGAGTTTTTATTGCTTTTAAATATTCAGGGTTTTTTCCCTTCCCCTGTCATATTCCTTCAGTGCTCAGTCAATAAGTCCTACTTCTAAATCTTTGGAGACTCCAAACAAGGCCCACTTAGATGTCATCTATTCTAATCCCCTCATTTTACAGAGCAGGAAACCAAGGTCCAGGGAGAAGTAAGTTATCCAAGGTCACACAGGCCGTATGTAGCAGAACTAGGATTTTAATCCATGTCCACTGTCATGAAATGCAACATTCTTTCCTACTGAACTACACTAGTCTATTACCCTACACGTGGTTCCAGATTCATCTTCTAATGCATTGATCTACTAATGTCATTCCCTTGTCTGGCATTCAAGGCCCTTGGCAACCTGTCTTATCTTTATGGTCTTACCTCCCACAAGTCTTTCTTATATCAATTACAAATTAATTAAATTAGAAAGTTCAGCACACCCCCAAACACAATACGCTTTTTATAATGTGCAGCCTATTGCTTGTTCCTTCTCTCTGTGTCAAATACCCTCTTCCCTACTGAGCTACTATGTCATGTTCCTGTTGCCTTCTGGCTTCCCCGGCTTCCTTCAGTACTTAGCTGAAATCCCATCTTCTACAAGAGGCCTTTCTCAGGACCCCCATTTACTCATCTCCCCCCTCTCCATCACACATTGTCCATGCCTTCCCTCTAAGTCATTTCTTTTGTGGCTCCAGGAAGCTATAACACAAGCAGCAACCACATCTAGGTGAAACCTTCCTAGCAGATGAGCTAATCCAGGCTGAGGGTAACCGACAGACCTTCAACCCACTGGTGAGTTACGGGGATATGTCTACTCCAAGCATGTGAAGACTGCCTCCGGCAGAATGGGTAGATGAGAACAATTTGTTCCAATGGCCATGAAAGTGGCTTAAGTAGGCTCTCTGGGGCTGTCAGAGCTTGGTTAGTCATCGAAGATGCCAAGGTCATCCACTGCATCCTAGGACATCACCAGTCGCCTCAACTTTTGTCATACCGCTGGACTTTGATGACTCCGGAAGAGAGAGTGAGATTGATGGCTTTACGTGACTGCCTCGCTTAAATACAATCCATGTGCAAGTCAAGACGTTACTGTGATGTCATTGGTCCTCTCTGAAAACAAAGGACAAACCCCAACTGCTCCCACTTATGCTGTGTATATCATGTATGTGCCTGGTTGTTTGCGTGGTGTCCCCCCATTAGACTGTGAGATCTTTGAAGGAGAACTGTTCATTTTTTGCCTTTTCTTTATACCCCAAGGTTTAACACAGTGCCTGGTTTATAGGAAACACTTAATAAATGCTTGTTGATGGAATCAATCAATCAATCATTTTGCAAAGAGTCACAGAATGTTAGAGATGGAAGAGATCTGAAATCTAGTTGGACATTCTCATTTTACTCAGGAGGAAACTAAAACCCAAGGAAGATGACTTACCCAAGTTCACACAGGCAGTAGTTTTTAGCAGTGCTAGGATTCAAACCCTGGTCCTCTAATGCCAAATCCATCAATCTTTCTGGCATGTCCAATCCAGAGCTTTTTTCTGATATACTATACCGCTTTTAGAAAGCTAGCTTATTTCAGATTTATCTAGGCCTCTACCTCATTCCCCCTGCTAGACTATGAATTCCCTGAAAGTAATGACAATAACTTATTTATCTGTCTGTCTCCAGTGCCCAGCACAGAGGCCTGCACATTTTTTGTTGTTATTCAGTCATTTTTTTTCAGTTGTATC